GCCACCTTTCAGCAGCCGCATGGCCTCAGGGGCTCACATTGAATTTTCATGTCTCATTCGCAAGAACTACTAGTCAATTTCCTTCTGCACGTAACAATATTTATTTTTTTGTTAACCCAAGAATAGGACTTTACATTTATCCCCATTAAATCTCATCTTGTTAGTTTTGGCCCATTGATCCAAACTGCTGAAATCTCCATGATCCAGATTCTGCCACGCAGAGCACAGTTATCCCCTCCCAGCTTTGCGTTGCCAAGAAATGTGATCAGCACACCTTTTACGTCTTCATAGCGATGGGCTGACAAAATTGTGGGCCAGGATGAGGTCCTGTACACCGTCCTACAGCCACTGACAGCAGTCTCAGTCCAGCTGTCCAACACGATTTGGTTCAACCTGAACAACGGATTACTATCCTCTAGGTAGTTATTCAGCCAACTGCTAATCCACCCAGTCCCACCTCTGCACTGGCTGCATTTCTCTACCCTACATCATGATATTCTGAGATACCGTCCAACAAATGCCTTCTCAAATATTTATGCCCATGTTTGACAAATTTAAAATGCTCCTTTCTGCAACTGTTCTGGAGTGAATATTAATTGGAGTGGCCCCCTAAGAGATGTCTGGAATTATTCCAGACAGAAGAAAAGTCAATGCCAAAGTTCTTCTAGCTCAGAGACGCCCCAAATATAAATCAAGTGGGCCGTGGACTTCCCCCGGCAATTGCCTTCAACCAGTGACGGACAGGGCTTGAAAACAGAAAGCTCGGTGGGAATGATCTACCGCCATCAGTTTTAATTACCCTAAACCGGAAAAACGGATGTCTAAGCTGGCCAGCCTGTCCAATAAAGCATTTTGATCAAAGATGCAGTTGCACAGAGAACCTGTTTAAGGAATGCCCTGGGTATCCATGGGGATCCAGGAGAGTTATGGAACTTGTAAAGCTGGTTCCCGCAGTTCCATAGGCAGACAGCAACATCGTGAAAAATGCTTCTCCAGGGAAGCTTTGAGTTTCTTTAAACATTCAATTATGGCTCTACAAACAGATTTTAAGTGAACAGCATCTGATGTCTGCACAAATTAGAGATGCTAGAAGGCGAATAAAATAGATTCCCTGAAACAACCATGTAATACAAATTCAGCCCTGCTTCATGAAGAACTGGTTTACACACGAAGAGTTTTGGAGTGGGGTTACTTAGGTGACTCTCTTTTTGCATTTGCTTTACATGATGATTTTTATGATTGAAAGCACTGAAGACACCTTTATATGGGTTATGATTTTAAAGCAGGTTTTTAATTAAAATAGATTTCTGGATATAGTCCATGGGTAGAGCTTTTTAGCCCTTGGAAAATTGCTGCGGGCCTTCCTAACATCCACCACTTAAAAAAATTTTTTTATTGAAGTACAGTTGCTATACAATCTTGTATTAGTTTCAGGTGTACAGCAAAGTAAGTCAGTTACACATATACCTATATCCTCTCTCTTCAAGATTCTCTTTTTTTTTTTTTTTTTTGGGGTTACCCGGGCCTCTCACTGTCGTGGCCTCTCCCGTTGCGGAGCACA